GGGAAACAAACCACAAAAATTATATAAATATATATATAGTTACATAGAAAACTGTATTTTATACATAGGGAGAATTATATAATTTTTCTAATCTTTTAGAGGATTAGAGCATATATGTACATGCACATACACACTGGCCGGGAAACAAACCACAAAAATTATATAAATATATATATAGTTACATAGAAAACTGTATTTTATACATAGGGAGAATTATATAATTTTTCTAATCTTTTAGAGGATTAGAGCATATATGTACATGCACATACACACTGGCCAGACAGGCAGTGGGTTAGTTAGTCTGGCTAAGATAGGGGTTCTTCCAGGACTCAGTTTTTCTATTTTAGTGTTTTTCACTGGGCTACCTGAACTCCTTTACACAGGAGAAACCTCTACCACTAGAGCAACCACACGTTCATGGAGCACAGGGAACTCTGGTCAGAACAGATCCCCTTCATCTCTTGTGCAAAAGACTGGTCAGGAAAGCTCTTTTCACAGAGGAACTGAATAGCCTCATTCATCAAATAGGAAAACACACAAAAAGGGCTTGGCTTATGCCCTGAAGGTGGCAACAGCACAAATCTTTGTTATTTGTGGCACAATGTTTCACTGGTATGGATGCTGGACCATCCACACCATTCAGTAAGGCTCTGCAAATTACAGTGCATGGTTTTGTCAGCTAGAAGACTACAAATTACGTTTTTTGCATATGCTGATACTTCCCACCCTCCACCTCTTTTTTCTTCTGGTTTTAAAATGAGCACTGAGATTGCGTAGCTTCAGAAGAGGGATAGCACTTTGGGGCACACATGCTCACAAGTTTCAATCAATGCTTACAAGACTTTTGAAGCAAGTTGTCCCAGGAACAATACCATGTCAACACTTGACATATCTTTGCAGTAGGATAATTAAATGAAGTGCTCCATCATAGTGCTTCCATGTAGGAAATAAACTGAGGAAAAATTATCTCATATTCTAGTTAGAAGGATCTCCCACATTGCTGCTAACAGTTAGCATGACAATCAAACCAGAAAGGGACAAACCACCTGATACTATCAATTTAAAGTAATCTTTAAGGTCTGCTGAAGACACAGCATGGATCCTGCAAGAAGCTCCATGTGGGTCCTATTCACCTATGCAAAACAGCACACAGATGTTAGAAGGGATCCTTTAGCAGGAATTTGCCTACCCTGAACTCCATGAAGTACCGGAGCCTTAGTTGCCACAGCAAGTGTTCAGAGTCATATTTTTTTAAATCACTTTCTTTTTTCCCCAGAACCTAAGCGGGGGGGAAGGCTGGCTCCTCAGTGAGAAGCTGTCTATCCTCAAACTTCAGCTCTGTTAAGGAAAAAAAAAAAAAAAAAAATCTATGCTTATAAAAGCACAGCTAGATTCTTCCTCCCCTCCCATAACATGGAATTGCTAAAGGAATTCTGTTCAGGTGTTCCACATCCCTTTTCTTAAATCTTCAGAGATCAATTAGAAAAAAAAAAATACAAAATTTAACTTGTTCTTGAAAATTGTGAACACCTGGAACTGAAGTTACAATGGAAACTAACCAGAAGGTGCTGCCAGCATTTCTACTTAAACATACACTATTTATTTTAAAATAACACTGGGTATTTCATCAGCTCTTGTTACAAGAATCATACCAGACCTCACTGCTTAGAAAAGGACAGATCTGTCTTCTGATTTGTTTACTGTGAGCATTTGACACCATTTTGCACAGAATCATTTTCACTGTTTTCCCTCATCTTTCATGAAGAAGTAAGAGGGAACAGAAAAAAAAAAAAATCTTTAAAATACAAGTGTGTTATTACAAAGTAAAAAAATCATCTGGCTGAAATACAGCACCTGAGATCTTAACACAATATACGTTAAGCTACACCTCTCAAGAAGCTCACAAATGGCAGACATTCATACACTGAACTGCAATGACTTTGTACCCATCTTAGAGTTCTTGAAGTTATTACTTAGTTTAACAGGAGTACGCTCACAGTAAGTTGCTCTCCAGTTTTTATTGCTGCTAATCCAAAAAGAGTAGGATATTATTCAAGCAACTGGTACAGTGCCTAGCAAAGATACACACAGGAATACACCCTGAAATACTTCTTGGGTACCTGAGAAACAGTGATTAACACGCAGAGAAGGCGAGCTGCTGGAGGTGCAGGGACCACAGGAGGGCCCGGCGGATCCGGCTGTGCCGCACACCCCGCAGCTTGCCCTCCCGCACCCCTGGGCAACTCCAGTTTCAAAGTTCCTGAGCGGATGCCCCGCTGGCCGAGGGGCACCCG